TCACACGCAGACATCAAAAGTAATTCTTCAAGGAAAAGAGGTGCAGATTCCAGGCTTGTGAGTATTCTGAGAAACTGTAAGAAGTAGATGAGCCCTGAGCGCCTCAGCCCATGTCCTTGCTGTAAGTTTAAATACATATGTACTATTTTATGTGCCTCTGTGTGCATTGTAAGCCCCAGAAATGCTCCTAATCTGTGAGCCATCACTTCTTGGACTGTGTAAGAGACTATTGGCTTTTGATATTGTGCCTCCTTCCACAGCCACAAACCTTACAAACCTTTGCAGGGGAGCTGAGGAGAAACAACTGACTGAAAATCAGTAAAGGTAAGCAAGCAAATGTAAAGCGTGGAATGTTCTAGAAAACACCACCAAGCTCGTCAGTTTCATAACAAACACAAACAGAAAGTGTTGTGGACAGGTGGAAAATGTTCAGATGCAGCAAACAAACAAAGAAACAACAACAACAACAAAAAAACCCAGCTAAGACAAAAGAAGAGTGTTATTTTCATTCTTAAAACATTAATCTGTAATAAAGACACATCCTAAACTATCATTTAAAAAATAAACCAGACAGCAAAAACTGTCATAAACAGAAGAAACTCAGAAACCAATCATCTTAGCGGAAATTTGAACGTGTGGCTCTCTGTATTTGAAGACAAAGGTAGCTAAAAAGTGGAATGATGTGAGGATAGCAGCAAAGGGTGAGCGTGGAGAGGTCATGGCTCTGTCTGAACAGGGTGGAGTGGGCCCGAAGCCCGCAGGATGTCTTTACTCTGTCACTAGAGAGAAGACACTTCTGCGGTGCAACCTCCACCCTCACCACAGGGCCTTCACATCTGCTCCCTCAGCTTACAGCTGCCTGCCCTCCATCCTCACCCCTTGTTTCTCTGGCTCTCCTGCACTGAAATTTCCTGCTTAAAAGTCACTTCCCAAAGAGCCTTCCCTGCCTCCCTGGGCTGGGGCTTTCTCTGCTGGCTCCTGCCTCTGCCAGCCACCTCCTCCCCTTACCTTTCTCTACTTTTTACATATACAAGCATTAGCTGCAACTTGATGGCAAGTCACTAGAGAGCATTTGCTGTGCTCACTTCTCCCCCATGCACCCTTTGCCAAGTTTCTCATCACAAGAAAGGCACTCAGGAAAGCAGGAAAGCAGGTGACCCATGAACTGACACGTCACCTGTGAGCCACTTAAATGTTTTTCTGTGTGGCTCTCCTGCAGTTCTTGGCTTGGGGCAGGGACCAGTTCTGACCACAGAGGACATTTGGAGATGTCTGGACACACTGGGTTGCTGTGACAGCATAGGAGAAGCTGGAGGAAGTATCTGCCACAGGGCAGCCCAAGGACAAAAAGCCATCTTCTGCACATTTCTAGAACTGAGGCAAGTCCAGCAGATGCTAGGGAGTTTAGAGATGGCAGGAAACAAGGTTGTAAAAGCCCAAGTCTCAAGTGTTCACTGGGTGTGTGGGGTTTGTGAGAAGGAGCAGCCACAGGTTCTCCGGCGAGGAAATGCCCCATGTAATCTTTCCTGGGGACCAGACGCTGTTCCACAAATATCAGACCCATATAGCAGATCTTTAAAAAAAAAAACACTTATTTATTTACAGCGTGTATGTGTGTACTTGTGTCATGGTGTTCCTGTGGAAGCCAGAGGACAGTTTGCAGGCTGGGGATTGAACTTGGGTCCTCAGGCTTGGCTGAAGCCACCTTTTGAATCATCACTGACCCCTACTGTGAATGTTTTTTTTTAACCTCTCTGAATCAGCTGAGAATTTCTTATTTAAAATGTGTCTATGCAAAGAGCAAACTGGATTATTAAAGCTGCTAAACAGACTTATGCTAAAGGCATGCTGGGATATTTTGTTAATCTTAACAAAGAAACAATTCATTCCCTCTAAAAGATTCCTTTTCAGGTTACTATCATAATCAGGTTACAAGCTACATTTTTTCTTTTTTTTAAAATTGAAAATATTATTTTTCATACAATATATTCCCATTATAGTTTCCCTTCCTCCAGCTCCTCCCCCACCTCCCCACCAACCCAAATCCACACCCTCTCTTTCTCTCTCATTAAAACACAAATAGGAATCTAAAAATAAGAATAAAATAAGATAAAATGAAAACAAACGGAAAAGGACAAAATGAACATAAAAAAAAGAGCCAAAGAAAAAGCATAAGAAATACCTATGGATGGACACACCTATTTGCATGCACAGAAAATCCAAAAAAAGTGAATCAGAAACTGTAACATCCAAGCAGAAGATATGTAAGGTAAAAAAAATTGTGGGGCAAAAAAACAAAACAAAACAAAAATCCCTTCCAAAACACCACTAAGTTTGTTTTGTGTTGAGCATCTGTTTCTGGGCATGGGGTTTGTCCTTAAGACTGGTTTGTATACATACCCAGTGAGATTCTACTGGAGAAAGTGAATGTTTCCTTTGCCAGCAGTTATCCACTGGAGTCAGCTTCTGGATTAGGGATGGGGCTTGTGTCTCTTTCCCCTCTCAGCACTGAGACCCCATCCACTTAGACCTGTACAGGCCCTGTGCATGCGGCCACAGCTTCTGGGAGTTCAAACTCTGAACTCCAGGTGACTAAGGATCCCCATAACACAAACAGGTGGTCCAATGCAGGGGGCACTATGGGAGAGGCTCACACAGGAGGGGGCAGCAGCTGCATGGGAAGTTGCTATACCTTCTATCTAATTTTTCTGAAGACTCTACAACCCCTCTTTTAAAAACAAGCAACTTTTTTTTTTCTGTAGTCAGCCAAAACACAGCCATTTTGCTCTTCGGTGCTCACAGTGTGGTCCTCTTATCCATGGCTTAAGCCCCTCCTGGGATCTGAGCAGAGACTCCACCCCACACCAGAGCTGATGGAGAAGGGCCAAGTCCAAGGACCTCCAAAAATACGTTAGGTCTGAGGATGTCAGTTCTCACTTTCAAGGGTTCTTTGCAATTATCTAGTGACCAAGCAAACAGGAATAAGGGGCTTTGGGGCTGGGCACCACTGTTTCATAAAGCTCCTTGGGTTATTTCTGTTGCATACAGTGTAGGATGGCACATGGTGAACAGACAGAGTTAGTGAACATAAAGAAGGGGATGCTGGCTCCAACCGGCTACGCAAGTGCTAGGTACTCGCTCAGCAGAGAGACGGACTGGGGAGGAAGACAGTCTGAGTGGGGACACTCTTATGAAAGCCAGTGACTCAGATTCCCACTCATGTCTCCCCTGAGGGAAGCACACCTGAGCTCAAGGTTCAGGAGGACTTGTGTCTGACATCTGTGGGGCAGAGGCTGTGGCTTTTGGGTTTCTGTGCCAGGCAGAGAGAGACAGCTTCCAATGAGGCAGGCGTGGATTCACTGGCTTCTTGTGTGCCAGAATGACAGCCATGAGCTGATTTGGAGATGCCAATATACTTCCACGAGGACATTTGAAGGGACGGGGCAGGGGTGGGGGAGGGGGGTTGCAACTGGTGACAGCCAGACAATGCAGAAGAGAGTTGTGGAAGAAGTTGTAGCCCCTCCTGCTTCAAGGCAGGTGCTGCTGCAGCCTGACATTCTCCACAGATCCTCACCAGGCCATGAACTCGCATTTGTGTTGAGAAGATCAAAGCCCTCTGAGGCCAGAACCTCAGGTGACCTGTCCTCTCTACTCCACTGTGCCCCAACCTTGGTGTTGGTGGTAGTTTTACAAGTCACCATTACTGGGCAGAAAGAGGTAGATAAATGGCAACCCTTGCCTAGCTGTCCCCTATGCACCACCCTCATGCGAAGCGCCCACTGTGCAAAACCCCATAAAGATAAAGAAGAAAATAAAAACCACCTTTGAAGCTTCAGTCATCACAAGGACTCTGAGAGGGAATTGCTGAATGCTGTTATTTAGGACTAATTACGTACAAGTGAGAAAGAAAGGAAAAGCCCGTTTCAGCTTTCAGCCCAACAGTGATACCTGTCACCACACCAAACTTAGGTAGTGAGTGCTTCCACTTGAGTATGAGAAAACTGTTCCAACTCAGTCCCCAGCACAGCGCTATAACCTGTGGTCTGGGTGTGTCCAATTAGTGGGGTTAGTGCCTTGCACTAGGGTCGAGGAATCAATCTTGTAGTCCTTTGCCCTTCTTCAGAGCAGACAAGGCTCTTGAGAGCCCACAGCTGCTAGTCTCTTGATCTTGGATCTCCCAGTCTTCTGAGCTGAGGGAAGTAACCCATGGTCTATAAAATATCTCACCTGAGGTAATTTGTTTTGAGACAGTGCAGAAGGCAAAGCAGTTTCTGATGACACCCCTGGAATCCTCCCCGTTGAGGTGAGAAAGACCCGGAACTTCCTGAGGTGTGGGGTCTCCCAGAGAGCTCATTCCCTCGGTCCTTTCAAGTGGTCTGCTTCTCGGATAACAGTGTGTGTTCATCTACATTTCTCATGGTGACAAGATCCCTAGCAAGCTCCTTAGGGGAAAAGGTGGACTTTGGCTCACAATCTGAGATCTGAGGGAAGGCACAAGCAGCTTGTAGTGGCCGGGGTACAGGGCTGGGACCTTGTATGCTTTGTCAGACCAGGAATCGAGAGCAGGGAATTCTGGCTTTCCTCTTTCTCACTCTTTATTAAGTCCTGGATCTCAGGCCATGAGATGGTGCTAGACAGTGAGATGGTGCCACCCACATTCACGGTGGTCTTCCCTACTCCGTTAAATCTCTCCATCAGCTTCCTCACTGACATGCCCAGAGGTGTGTCTCCCAGGTGATTCCAAATCCAGTGGACAAAGAAGATATACCATCCTAGAGGGAGTCAGGAAGGAAGGGGAACGGAGGGGAGGAGAGAAGAGAGGAAGGAGAGAAGACAACAGGTGAGGAAACAAAGAGGCACAAGGCTGGTTCCCAAGAGTGGCAGACTGGGTCCTGGGTTGGGATGTGCTGCTCCAAGAGTTGAGAAGGAAACAGCCTGTTGTCTCACACGGAAGCATGAGCACACACACAGGTACATGCATGCACACGCTCACACACTTTCAGCTCTGGGGCCATCTGAGAAAGCAAATTCTCCACAGTCATTGCTGAGGACACACTCAGAAAGTGTGCTTGCACAAGGTCACAGAGATGTCATCAGAGACCTCTGGGATGTCACATGGGATGGTGTACCTTTTCTAGCCAGAACTTAAGAAAATGGGAAATTCAAAAGCACATGGGAAGTTAGATTCCTTCACTAAGTGACTTCCATGTCTAAGAGGAACTGTATACCTCACTGACTCGGTGACAGCTGTCTAGAACAGAATGATAAGTAGTGAGGGCAACAAGAAAAATAAATGAGCCAAACACTTTTTTTTTTCCAGAGAG